ATGGTTTAACGAAGAACCAAAGGGGGCGCCTGGGTGGCTCAGTCAGTTCAGCGTCCGACTCTGGCTCAGGTCATGATCTCACGGTTTGTGGGTTCGAATCCCGCGTCGGACTCTGTGCTGACAGCTAGCTCAGAGCCTGGAGCCTGTTTCAGATTCTGTATGCCCTTCTCTCTCTGACCCTCCCCTGCTCACGCTCTCTCTCTCAGAAATAAATAGAATATTAAACAAAAAACAACAAAGAACCAAAGGCCAGAAGCCTAATAACGATGTTTTCAAACATGCAAACAAAAGCCGAATCCCTGAAAATCAGGTTCTTTTCATTTCATACTTGAGATTCAAGGCTTCTACTGTTCATTCATGGCTCGAGCAAGCAATAAGGATTCATCGAATACTACTAATTTGGAATGCTACCAGCTTTCGCATGCATCAGTTTGCTTGGCTATTCAGAAAACAGTGAACTTTTAAAATATCGGTATCATCATTCCCATTATAAAACTGTGGGTTTTCATCCTTAAAATGGCTTTTCCACCAGAGATGCTGTCAAACTCGCCCACCACCAGAGATGCTGGTGAACTTGGCACTGAGATGAAATGTATCAAGGCCAAGCTAGGCCTTTTTTTTTTTAAAGAAAGAAACATACCCTACTATTGCTACAAAACTATCTGGCTACTTATATATTATTTTGGTTTGTGGGGTACTGTTTTATTTTGTAACCTTTAAAGGGTGGGGACAGAAGAAGGGAAGATTTGAAAAGGAAGCCGACAGCTTGAGGCTACTGCTCTTGGTTTTGAGGCAACCTGAGTTACTTTGGGCAGTGCTTTCTAGAACCTCTACTTTGGTCTGGACGGCCTCTCCCAGCTAATCACAATCCCACATGTCCAAGGCAGTGGATGCCAGGCAGGCTGATCCAGGGCACCTCTCTTAGGTTTCAAAGGCCTCCCTACTCTGTCTGTCCCACCAGAAGCTTATCTGGCAGCGCCCGGGGCAGGTGCAGACCTCGGAACTGTAAGGAGGCCTGACTTCCGCCAAGGATGGAACCTTCCTGCCCAGTTTACTGGTGGCTCCTGCCTCTTGCTTAGCTCCTCCCAAAGCAGTGTCATTATGAAACAGGTATTAAATGTTCATTGGGTGCCAGGGACTGAAGGGCCAGACCCCGTGGGTGTGGACACTGGCCTGAAGAAGGGACCATCCAGACCGCTACAGGACACTGCAGCCCCTGGTTCTCCTGAACTTCAATGCAGGGTTGTGGTCCTTCATCCTTGGCCCTAGAAGTTCCCTAGGCCCCTAGATGTTCAGGGCTTTCTTTTTTATTTTCCTCATTCCCGAGTCCTACAATTTCACGTAGCAAACCTCTTCATTTATGGTATAAATTAAATGCTCACGTTAACTAGCAGTCTGATGCTGGATCCACTGCAAGAGAAGACTGTGGCCATACCTGTGGGATTAAACTATCTTCAAAAATGAAATACTTCAACCGGTACCCCTCAAGGCTGGCAATTACTGCCATCTTCCTTTGAATATAGAGTCCTGTGAAATGAGTTCACTGCCAGAGGCCAAAACCCCTCATAAGGGTCAGATTTAATAGTCTTCCTGCCACTCCTCCCTAGTAGTGGGGGCGTGGTATTTAGTACAAGGTCAAGTAGACTTGAATCCAGACCTGAGTCAGATTTAATCGTCTTCCTGCCACTCCTTCCTGGTAGTGGGGGCGTGGCATTTAGTACAAGGTCAAGTAGACTTGAATCCAGACCTGATTCTGCTACTTACTTAGCTGTGTGGCCTTGGCCAAGTAACTAAACCTGTCTGAGGCCATGTCCTCATCTTGAAACAATACTATCTACGTCAATGAGTAGTTATGGATATTAAATAAGAGAGTCAATATTAAGCACCTGGGGGAAAAGAAATAAAAGCAACAAGGAAAGCATCAACCTTTTATTGTACACACTCTGGATCAGGCACTGTTCTAAGTGCATTATTATGTCGTTTCCTTTTTTTAATTCATTTCAACCTCCAAGTAATATTATTATGCCCATTGTATAATTGGTAAGCTGAAGTACACAGGCTAAGTAATTTGCCCAAATCACACAAGTATTAAGAGCTGGAGCTAGGCTATGAGCTCAGGCAGCCTGACTCAGAGAGAGGCTTCTCAACCTCAGGGTTTCCCCACCCCCCATCTCCTTGCCTCAAAAGGTACCGATATTCATGCAGGATTAGCCACTCCTACAGGCACATACTGGGTTGTTAAACTGTATATGCATATTTAGGCATGTTCCTTTCAGTGTAATTTTGGGCAAGTATAGAATAGGTCTGTCTCTGGCTTCCACACCTGTAAAATGGGGATATTAACAATTCCTCCTTCCACAGAATGATTACTAGAAATAAATGGGTTAATCAAGGTAAAGGGCTGAGAAGACAGCTGGGCATTTAGGACAGGCTCCATGTAAGAAGTATCTTTATCATCTAAAGTCCTGAACAGCGTGGCGTGTTAGCAGAATTCTTGGGCTCCGGGCACTTGGTAAAGGAGATTTTGTAGCTGGCTCAGGCTACTAGTTTCAAATGACTATCCTTGTTCTCTGGCAAAACATACTGCATTTAAAAATAGATTGAAGTTCTTATTCAATGAATAAGTCGGGTCCACAGGAGTCTGGTTAGAAAGAAATTAGGCCAGACCTGAATGAAATTAGACAGAAAATAAGAATTTTAACAGTTAAAAAGAAAACATCAGGGCATTCTTTCTGGAGGGTTTCTTCAGGTTAGGTATTGTACTGCACCCACTGGGTAAATGCTATGACTACAGGGCACGGAGCTTGTGAAAAATGTATGGCCTGGTAAAAATCTTTGGGTGATACAGGTTAAAACAGCCTTATCCCCACGGCTGTTGAATACCACGAACTTTAGAAGTGAGAAAGGGCAGCTTCTGTGAACATGTTGGACCTAAAACAAAACACCACATTAAAGGAAAAGTTGGACGGCAGAGAGACCGGCTCATGGGAGCCGATGGTTCTGTGTTTATTCCTCTTGCACATTCACAATAAAAAAATTAAAAAAAAAAAAAGGGGGGGTGATGCTCATTGCTTTAGCTGTCTTTACAAGTTACATTCAGAGAGAAAACAGAATTTTGCTGCTTAGATTTGGAGGCAAGGGGGAGCTCATCCGATTTCATGTCTGTAGCTGCTGCCACAGCACCATGTTCCAATCATGGAATTCAGAATGTAAATCTCTTGCAGATGATACCACTGGAAAACAGAAACTGCCATGGATCCAGAAACACTTCCAAATTTCTGTAAAGTTCTTATCTTCGGGCCCAGAGGCTGGTACTCAGTATTTTATTCAGTAAGTGAGGCCCCCTGGGAAATCTACATTCTTTGGGAGACTTAAGGAAGAACTTCCAACCATTCCTTGGCTATCCAAATAGTCGGTTATGTATGCCAGGTGTGACCGTGCTGAACAGTTCACAACAGCCCCGACGTATCTCTGGAGTGTTTCAATCTATTCTGAAAGGGTCTGTCACACACATACCGTCTAGCTAATTCTTTAACTGCCAAGAAGAGCTCGTACAAATTACAGGTGGTATCAAAGAGAAGACCTTTAGCGCTGTCCAGAGAAGTGGAGAAGTTGCATTTCTTGGTTGTTAGATGCAAGATCTTTTCTGAGTTAAAACGTTATAGGAGCCTTTCAAATAGCCTTAGGGACACCCCATCACCAGAGCTTCGTGGTGAGCCTTTTGTCTCCTTGGGACCTTAAGGGGAAGTCTCCAAGATTGCCTTTGCTGTTCAAACACGGACATCTGCTACACTCCAAATTTCTTGTTCTGTTTCAAAAGCAGCACCCCCAAGAAACTCTAGAATATTGTGAGGCCTACAAGTTGGGGGTGGAGAGGAAATCTGTGTCTCCCTAACACATTCATCAATTCCCTCCCCCTTCCCAGCACCTCCCTCTCCAGAACCCTCTACACCCTCAGCACACACATGCAGCGACTCCCCCAAATGCACCAGGGCTGGAAAGATTCATGTTGCAATACCCTCCTGACATTCCTATTCCCGCCCTCATTTTAATTCACTCACTGCCTTTTTTTTTTTTTTTAAACAAAAATGTAATTACTTGACTGTCAGCCTGGGCTGCACTCTGGGGCTTTTACTCTTTTCAACACAGCTGCGCTCTGGGCTTTGATGCTGCTGTCCACGCAGCTTGTCCCAGCCACAGCCTGGCTCTCGGTAATTCAACATTCAAGTGCATATTTATTTTTAAACTGACCTCTCCGAGACTGTACAGTATAAAGGAGGTCCTGCCAAAAAATATGCTACTTTCTATTTATAAGATGAAACACATGCCTCCCCAAGTCGAGGGGAGGGAGGGAGTGGAGTACAATAATTCATAACGAAAAAAATGGCCAGATCCATTCGTCCTCACGTGTCTGATACTTGTCTATGTCAAGGCAGTTTCAAGGAGAAAAAAAAAACTTGAAGACGCTTCAGCTGTTCAGAAGCCACCGTAAATAATTAATAATAATAATAATAATAATAATAAAGCTGCCAGATCTGCAGGTTGGAGCTCCAGCCACAATGCCCCGTCAAGAGAGAGGACACCCGGCGGGTACCGCCACCGCAGATCTGCACGGGGCACCCATGCGCGGCCCTGGTGCCAATCCACGATGGGAGGGGGGCGGTAGCCATGTGCAGCTTGTTCTGAGATGGAAAAATGGAATATGCGCCCAGAATGGCTGTCAAAATAGCTCGGAGGGCGCAGTGCAGCCCCACCCTGAAAAGCGGTGGGCACAAATGGTGGAGCTGTGCGTCTCGATCGTGCCACCCGAACCCCTCCCGGGCTGCTTTACGTCCCCTTTGGTCCTTTGGACACCAGCTGGGAAGGCGATGCTCTCGGCATCCGCCGCTCCCTGTGCGTTTCCAAGCCTAGCACCCCGCGCACGCCGGAAGCGGCCACGACCGCGGGTCCCACAGACTCACAGGCTGAGAGGAAGGAGCCCAGGGCAGGCAGCAACTCACCAGCAGCCCCGACGATCCCAGTCGCTGCCCCTGGGCGGGACGCCCCGCACGGACGCCTCCCGAGGACTCACGCAGTCCCAGCCCGTTACCCGCAGATCCTGCCGGGGCGGCCCGCGCGGCACCTCACAGCACTATTCACTCCGAGTCGGCGTAAAGGCGCGCGAGGCGGCGGGTCTCCAGGCGCGGCCCCCCGCTCCTGCTGGTGTAGACTCCGGCCGCGGCCGGGAAGGAAGGTGCAAGGCGGACTGAGCGCGCAGCGGCCGGACGCCGAGCTTGAACCTGTGAAGGGCGGGGCCCCGCGGGGCGGGGCCGGCGGCGCCGGGGGAGGGCCGGGGCGGGGCGGAGGGCGCGCGCGGCCTCGAAAGACCCACCCCGCCGCGGTACCTGCGCCCGGGCCGCGCGGAGCGGGCGGGGGTCAGCGGCGGCAGAGCCTGCGGGCCCCGGGAGTACAATGGGCGCCCATTGTTACCCCCCGGGCGCCACCCTTAAGGACGCGGCTTCCCCCCAAAAAGCTGCGTGGGGCTCCCTCCGCACAAAGACAGGTCGCGGGAAGCTCGCGCGACCTTCCTCAAAGAGGGACCCCCGGGGTGCTAGCTCCTGGGTGCCCAAGGACAAAGGGACTCCGCCCGCTCCCTGGACACCTGCACTAAACCTCTTGCGCCCACCTCTCCTCGTCCCAACAAGCCGATCTAGCCCGGCGAAGCTAGGGCGCAGCGGGCGGGTGACTCTCGGGGAAGCGGGGTCACCTGACCGCGCCGACCCTCCCCGGCCGCGGGTCGCGCAGCCAGCCGTAGCCCCGGCTCCGGGGAAAGGTGGTGTTTTGTCAGTTTCCAGCTCGCTCCCTTTGGAGCTGCTGCCAAAACCCGGAGAGTGGATTTGGCGCACTGGAGACGCCTGGGGCTGCGGGCTGAGCAAGTGGGCACGGAACCGCCGACGCTGCAGGTTTTTCCAGTCCAGGGGGAGGTGTTTCCTCTCCCGCGGGGTCCCTAAAGAGACTTGCCTGAAGCGGGGGCAGACGGGTGGCGGCCGCCCCCGACGCGCGGCGAGGTGCAAGTGGCGCAGCTGCGGGCCCGGGAGCCTAAAATTCGGCCCTTGGAGGCACCTGCGCCCGCCGGTCATTCCGGCGACCGCCTCGGCACGCCCCGCCCCTGCGCCCGGAGGCCCAGCTCGGACCGGGTTAATTAATTTTCTTAATCCGTCTCCGTCTCTTCCTCCTCGAGTCCTCCGCCTGGGTTAATGAGTAGGCGACAGGAAAGGGCGGCGTTTTCCGGCTGTGAGGTCCCAGCCCGCACGGTCGGCCTGGGGAGGCGGCTGGAACCGGGGGCGGGGGGGCGGGGGGGGGGTGGATCAGGAGCTCCGGGCCTGGACAGGGCTCTGGGACTCTCAGGTTGGACGGAAATCCTGGCACAAAGCAGATCATTGCAGAGGACCTTGACTTTCCAGAGCGCTGTCAGCTCCAGGTCCTCGGCGCCAAGCCCCCGGGTCTGAACCCGTAGAGGATGCACTTAAAGCTTGCGTGGTAAACGAGGGCTGACGTTAAGGTGAAGTGAAAAGGAAACGGACGCAACTGCTCTGGAAAGCAAAGGACTTGGGTGGAGTGGTAAAACCCTCAACGAAAATAATAGTTGGCAGGTCAAATGGCCGTGAGGCTGGAAGTCAAATACAAAACTCAGCCGAAGTGATGTTAGAAATCTGACCAGCAAAGCAGTCCAGGGAGATAACAGACCCTGCGTTGTTTCTTTTCTTCAAATGACGGCTGCTCCAAGGTTTCCTTTGGCAGGTACCTGGATTTTACTCCAGATTCCTAAGAGTTTTGCTCGGGGTTCATATTTCAAAATATATGTTCCATTTGGCACTAATGTATATATTTTATGTATGGATTTATTGAAAAATATTAAATGTTACTGGCCTACTTAGATAAAGGGATTTTTACAAATATTTATGCATAGTTTTCATTGCATGTGGTATTTTTATAAGTACAAATAATATGTGTATATATTTATTAAATACCACATGAAAAATTACTTTTTTACACACGAAGACATTCTTCGCACATATGTCTTATGTGTAAAAAAAATTTTTTTCACTTGCTCTATAGTTAGCTGCTGTTAAAAACACTTTCCTTCCACATGACTAAGTAAATAACTTCTTTTATAGCTTGTGCAAATGTAGAGTGCCAGGTTGTTTGGGGTAGCTATTTTATCCCCAAACACCATTTTCATTTTCCTACACCATTCCTCACCTTCTAGAAACTCTCTCTCTGCCCTTTGTGAGACTTCCCATCCCTGGGCTCTAAACGGTTCACCCAGAACCTGCCCCTTCAAGGGCCAGTGGTGCTGATTTGATTTATCCTGGTCTCTTTGATACTCCACATTATTTATTTGTACTGGCCATCTTCTCGATACTGAACATCCTCAGGGAGAGTGCACTTACATACACAGTGAATTATCCTTCCAAATGAGTACATTTTGTGTACTAACTCTGAAGGCTTTTAGGTACAATGAATCTTTATTTCGCTTAGGGGGGAAGAAAGGGATCGTCTGAGGAAGATTTTAAGGGTTCTGGGATTCTGCTCTGAATTACAGAAAAGTTGAGCCTTGAAAAACTGGTGGTAACCTTAGAAGCCTAAGCGAGACTAAGGAAGTAGACGTAGAGAAGATACTCTATCAGTTTCAATTAACGCACTGATATCTGTAGAGCAAGCATCTGGCAGGCTTGACAGTGCATATTCTTCTATTAGTCCCAATAAGCCAAAAAGCGTCAGCAGCACACTTGTGCTCTCCTGCAGTCTACTCAAAGGGCAGAGCGACATGCCAGTGTGTGCAAGCCAGTGCTGGCGGGGACCATCATGTCACCAAGTGTGGCCCTGGGACCAGCAGCACCAAGCCTCACTCCAGGGCTACTGACTTGCCGTCTTCATTGTAATGGAATGTAGACGCTTTGTGTGCACATGTGATGTTTGAGAAGCACCGGTCAAAGGTAGTGGTTCTCAATCTTTAAAAAAAATTTTTTTTTAATGTTTTATTTGTTTTTGAGAGAGAGAGAGAGTGAGACAGCGTGAGCAGGGGAGGGTCAGAGAAAGAGGGAGACGCAATCCGCAGACAGGCTCCGGGCTCTGAGCTCTCAGCACAGAGCCCGACTTGGGGCTCGAATCCACGAACCGTGAGATCACGACCAGAGCCGAAGTCAGACGCTCAACTGACTGAGCCACCCAGGCGCCCCATCAACCTGTTTTTAAAAAAGTCAGAGGTTCATTTTACAATCTCCTGGTACGTAGGAATACGCTTGTGTGAAAGACAAACACAGAGAACGGCACACCGGCGCTCCAGCTCTCCACCCCAGAGTTCCCCGGAATGCCAGTCTACAAGTGGTAAGAAGTCCCGGAAAAGCCTCCGGTGTCAGAGCCTCTCAAGGTCAGCCATCCCCAGGTAGGGGGACATCCTTCACAGGAGGCAGAGCTACAGTTATGCTTTGAAATATGGGAGAGAGTAAATAGGGAGAGGAGTCAAGAAGGGCATTTCAGGCAGGAGAAAGGCATAGGTAAATGGGCCCCGGGCGATAAAACACCAAATATGCCATTTTGATATGGGGTAAAGTGAAACTTAATGAGATCGGAGTTTGGTAGCAGGCTCTCTCGTTGCAATTCATTATAATTGTTTGAACCTCCAGAAAATGAAGCTGGGCTCAGTGGCCCTTTCACTTCGGGGCCACCAGGAACCCTTTGACATATGGTTTCCTGTAAGACCTCATTTCCGATTACTAGCTATCCCTCTCACTGCACATGGCCTTCAGGCTTTTCCAGGAACTCCAGCAGGGCCTGGGGCACTCCATCTGCTCGGACACTTCTTCCCCAGATAACCAGATGATCCATTAAGGCCTTTATTCAAATGAGACTTCAGGGGAGAGGCTTTTTCTCTAAAATAGCAGCCCCACCCACATTGCCATCCTGGGCTTAAAGCAAGAAGGATTTCTTCATTACCTGACATTATACTATATTTATGTATATATTCATTTATGGCCTGTTTTGTCTGATGCGTGGGCTTTATTTGCTCTTGTATCTTTCCTTTGTAAAATGGGGCCTGGTGCATAGTAGATACTCAATCAATGACCCCCTGGCGACAACCCGTAATGAACGTAAAAGCCGTGTTCACAAACTCCATAGCTCCAGAAATAATAATATATTAAACATTCCTGAAATACACCACACATATGCTGAGACTGGATTTTTGACCACTTTTCTTTCGTGGAGCTGAGCAAGAAATACTAAACACATGGAACATTTTAAGTTCTGAAATTCAAACATTTAAAAGTAAGGCTCACAAAAAATGTCTTTATAGTCCATGGATAATGTATAACTACTTCTCTTCTAGCAAAGCTGAAACACACTCTTGTGTACCCAGCTGGGGTTTTCCTCCAAAATGCCACATTCAGACTGAATTTGTGTGTGCATGTTCCCGATTATCCCCCTAAGTTAGATGTAAGGCAGAATGTAAGAGAAACTGGAACGTTAGAACATTTTGAACGAGAAGGCCCCTGTAATTGGCGGATTCCTCTCTTCGCTCCCCAATTAGTTTCGGCAGTCCTGGAAATAAAGGTAACCCACGCTAATGAATTTGGTTAAACAGTCAGTGAAAGTTAAGGAATTTTCGAGCCAGTGATTTCCTTGTAAATAAAGAATGTCACTATTTCACCTAATCAAAGGCAGCAGGAAATGGTATACTCTGAGGGAGGCTACGGCAGCATGTAGCCTGCAGGCCTAGCCTGCAGTTCTGTGCAGGGTTAGACAGTCACTCACAGATACTGCCAAATCCTGGGACTCTCTCAGCATCTGAATTAGTTTTTGAACTCAGGCAGCCCCGATTTTATTTGTGGATAAAGCCTTCAAATAGAGATGCACATTCGATTATTGCCGGGAAACCAGTGACTAATAAATGGCCTTACCTTATGTACAGATAGCCTGCTTTGCCTTACAGAACCCTTTACTTTCATTCCATTTCTTTCCCCTCTTAGGTCCTTGGTCCGTGTTGGGTAGGTAAAGCCCTGACGATTGATTCACACTTCACCTCTCCTTCCAGAAGGGATTTGGGGCAATTTAAAAGGCTTTTGTGTTTATGAGTCATTCCTATCGTGCTCTTTGTGGTGTTCTCTTTCTCCAGATACTTGTATGCCTCCCTCCTTAGCTTTCTCAGGCCTCCGCTCCAGCGTAGCTCCCCAGAGTCCTTCTTGGACCTTCTATATAAAATACTACTCGTGGCCCTTTTTATCTCTTTACTGCCTTTATCCTTCCTGGCGTTTATCACTCAACATATTGTGTATTTATTTGTCAGTTATCTTCCCCCCACACACAGACCCAACATACCATATATTTATTTGTTGATTATCTCCTCCCCCACCCTGTATCACTCTATTCTCCCCTCCTCTGAGAGGGCAGAAAGTTTGCCTGTTCTATTCCCTGCTGCATCCCAATGACCTGATTAGGTGCTTCGCATGTAGTAGAGACTTCCTAGGTATTTGTTGAATGAATAAATGATTCCTCAGTGCTTATGCACTGTGCAGGACACCCAGTGAATGTTTGTTGAATAAAACCACGCCTTCATGAATGAGTTAGAGGAAGGTCTGTGATTCACGCAAGGTCGTGCGGATAGTGATAACTGGATTCGTAAAGATTTCGATCCCGACTAATTCTTTCTCTGCATCGTCTTCACGTGTCTATCTGCTAGCAAGTCCAGACCACTGTATTGTCAAA